TATGTACATTGTATAGACATTAAGATACATTGTTCATCGTCATGACACTCCATGAACTTCATGATTCATCAGATCAGATTGTGTTTGATACATTTTCCTGTCAAAAATTATGATTTTATTTCACTAGTGCTTTACACCTGTAAATGTGCAATTGGATAAGAGGTAGTTTTAATTTATGCAAGCCGGTCTAAAATACTTGATATACCACGTTTTCTGTAATTTGAAGTAAGTCCCAAATGTGAATAACACAGTAAGGTTAAATCCTTCTGTCAACTGAAATTGACAAAACCAATAGTGAACTCAAAAGTTTTGCTTGTTCCTTAATTATAGATAACTATGTACACCAAGGCATATCTCTTGTCAACTTTTCAATTATTCAGTAACTATGTTATTTTCATATTTTGTTATTTATCTCTATTCTATTCTATTCTATTCTATTCTATTCTATTCTATTCTATTCTATTCTATTCTATTCTATTCTATTCTATTCTATTCTATTCTATTCTATTCTATTCTATTCTGTCTTTAAATTAATGTTCAATTAATGCTTTTTCCGTGATTGAGGACTTGAGATAATTTCTAAGCAATACATAACTTCTTTTTTTTGTCCACACTCAGAATTCCACTGGTCATGAGTTTTCTATACCCATGCCAGGTCATCCAGCCAGTACAACAGGTAAATAGATTCTAATGATATCAAAAATTCCATGTTGTGTTTCTAAATGAGGATTTTTTTTTTCTTTGATAAAGATAGAAAATTATGACCCTCATTCATTTTCATCCTTTGTAATATTGATATTTTCTAGTTTCTGGGTGTATTTCTGCGATATTATAATATCATTTTTAAAGTAACCTGTAAATATACACAATGTGAAAAAGTATTTTCTTTTCATTCATATATTACATAAAAAAAAACTCCCTTCCAGCAGTTTATGCGTCCACTTTCAACAATAACAGCAGCATATGAACAGCGCCACCACTGATGAAAAATTATAATCTATTGTTTTTTCATTGCAACTATAATAAAGCATACTGTGAACTTAATTCAATGGCTTGCTGCATGATTAGTGTTATCCACTATTCAAGTTTAAAAAAACATTACACAGCAATTAGTTTACATTATTCTTTATAAGAGTGTGATGAAAAAATAATGCTCATTATTTATTCCCAGATTGCATTATTGAACAAACCAAGAAAGATGTAAAGCAATTAGAGTCACTAATTGAGGAGCATGATGTAGTATTTCTCTTAATGGACACCAGAGAAAGTCGATGGTTACCAACATTGATTGCAGCCAGTAAAAGAAAGGTATGAACATCAACCCTGGAGTCTTCATCACAATAAACATTTATTTTCAGATAGGCGTCTCCATTTTTTCTGGCGTTCTGTAAAAGTATTAATTTTTTCTGATGAAAAATTTCACTATTTCACCCTATAAGAAGGTCTATGGTACAATTAAAATCCAGTGAATAATTGAAGCATTTACAGAACATGTTTGGATAGGTGAAGTTTCTATATCAGTTCTATCTATATACATGTACATTCATCCATTTTAGGCCATTTCTCTGATAAATATCAACAGATTTCATTAAAATTTATAAAATCTGTACTGATGATGGCATACATAATATCAGAGGTACATTACTTGGGGTTTGCAACTACAGTGACATGATACCAAGATCCCCTAACAATCTCGCGCTCGCATAAGCATTCCAACTCAGAAAAATGCAAATGCTCATGCACGAGGTAACTAGGATACTGGGATGTCCAGGTGGATCAAAATAGCTGCTCACGATATGACGGATTATGATAACTAAGTTTTATGTACATTTTCGATGTATTACATTTTTTCACTATGAATGTGGTAATACATGTTTTATTGTTTTATTACAAACGCCTATGTCATGTCAGAAGGTAGTAGCATCAGTCTCGCTATGTACGAGATGGGACTTGAATGGGATCTTGGCATGATGTCACCATACAGTACTATGTGCGTTGCAAACCCCAAGTAATGTACCTCTGATGGCATACACATATATATATATCAATATTGATACATATTTTGTTTCTTAGTATAAAACTACAGGATCTGAAACAATATTGATTTAAATATTTAGACACCAAGGACATTGGGAACACACATCAGATCTGTTGAATTGTTATAACATGTTAACCTTTTCACCACCGGTTCCCTCTTTTCATTACAAATTCACAAAATACATGTAGTTACTTTTATAGTCTCCACATTCCTTCCGAAATTGGAACAAAATAGCCAAACTTTATGAATAAAAACTGAAAATTGACTAAAAATTTGTCAGTTGGCTCAAAAATTAGGGCTCATTTCCAGAAATATTGAAGAATATAATATAAAGTGCAAAATAATTTGGGCGAGAACGCCTAGTGGTGAAAAGGTTAAAGGATAATTTTTGTTATTAACCACTCAAAAACACTGTTGCAAATTAGGAAAAAAAGCAAATTCATCTCTTCTTTGATAACCGTTGTATGACTGGGCACTGTTCATTACTAATATTTTTTTTTTGAAGCATTATGCTTATATCTGTAACTATAATATTTTTTCTATTAAAAGTACATTCCCATTAAATGTAGAAGCAGATATATTAAAACCAAAATGTATACTGAATCCCAATAAAATCACTCCTATGTTGTGCTAGCTACTAATAGAACAAATAGGGTTTATAAAAATAGAATTATGAATGAAATGAAACACATCAAAACATGAACCAAATAATCACTTTCATTTTTTAATTTTAGATTGTAATCAATGCCGCATTGGGTTTTGATACCTTTATGGTTGTAAGACATGGTTTAAGACTACCTACAGAGGGCGCCCTACCATCTTTACCAGATACCACAGCCTGCAGTTCACACAAGCGAGATATACATGGTAGTGAGCTGGGATGCTATTTCTGTAATGATGTGGTTGCCCCTGGTGATGTAAGTCACATGTTTTGATTTCCCAATTTAGAAAAAAAAAAACTGTAAAACACCCAGACCTTCATTCTGTCTGGAATTAACCCACTACTGACCACACACTTTCTTTCTTTGTTGTAGAGCTTGATTATGCCTCGCTCGTTATTTTCTACATCTCTGTTCTATTTTCATGCAATAATGGACAACCCGTCATTCTTTATTTCCTCAATGTTCGCAGTTCAAATGACAAAAATTACAAACAAGTTTTAATCAGAATAGAGCAAGAGCATAAAGCACATTCGTTTAGTTTTGTGTAAATAGATAGAATCTCTTATTTAGATCACTTTGTTTATACAACTTCCTCAAAACATCATGTCGCGGTAATTCACATACTGAACTCTGTCACCCAGTAGGACATAAAGTTACGAGAAATGAGAATTTATGATTCGAATACCTGTAACATTATCACGGCCGGTACAGAGGTCACCAAATAACTCTAAATCCCTCGTATATTTGCATTCTTGTTTACAATATTAAGAGGATATTAAGAGAGTATCACAAAGTGTGCACAGAAACAGGACAGCAGGAGCGATGACCGACCATTGTAGAGGTCGATGCGACCTTGTATACGTACTGTCCACAGTGTATTCTTTGTGATACTGTATTTGACTTAATTTGTTCAAAGATGGTATAAAGATAAAATATCAAAAACGTTTTTTTTTGTTTGTACTACTAGAACAAATATGGTACATTCATTCTATTACAAGTCAATTTGACAGACTGCAAGGTTTTTATAAGATTTTTATCTATGTTAATTTCCCTTTGGTATATGTCATAATACAAACTATGACAATAATACTGCAATGAAAGTTGACGTGATGCTCAAAGAATTAATTATTCAATTAAATTTTCATTGAAATTGAAAACTTAGTGTATTGAATTTTCATTGAACTTTATCATAAAACATAAAATTCAGACTTGCCTGTGTCTCCAATTTCCAGTGAAAGTAAATTTTAATAGAAAATCTGCTCAATTCACTGTTTTCATATTTCGCTAAAAATAAAAGTTCATTTGAATTCAAATCCATGAATCCATTTGAATATGGTGTCATCCACTCATTGTGTCTGTCAATGAAGCAAATGGTAGACTTTAATTACTGTTTCTATTTATTTATTTTTCGGGTTTCTGTCACATTGTACTTGAACCTGGCAATGTGATTTATCTTCTGTTTTGGACTTTGAGTAAAAAAGTAAACTTGTTGGTATAAAAGTGATGTCACAAACCTTTTTTATATAGGAGTGATGTCATCAAACTTGTTAGTATAGGAGTGATGTCATCAAACATGTTAGTATAGAAGTGATGTCATCAAACATGTTGGTATAGGAGTGATGTCATCAAACATGTTGGTACAGGAGTGATGTCATCAAACTTGTTAGTATAGGAGTGATGTCATCAAACATGTTAGTATAGAAGTGATGTCATCAAACATGTTGGTATAGGAGTGATGTCATCAAACATGTTGGTATATGAGTGATGTCATCAAACTTGTTGGTACAGGAGTGATGTCATCAAACTTGTTGGCATAGGAGTGATGTCATCAAACGTGTTGGTATAGGAGTGATGTCATCAAACTTGTTAGGATAGGAGTGATGTCATCAAACTTTTTGGTATAAAAGTAAAGTCATCAAACTTGTTGAGTGATGTCATGAAATTTGTTGGTAGTAGTAATGTCACCAAACTTGTTGGTACAGGAGTGATATCATCACACTTGTTGGTATAGGAGTGATATCATCAAACTTGTTGGTAAAGGAGTGACATCATCAAACTTGTTGGTAAAGGAGTGACATCATCAAACTTGTTGGTATAGGAGTGACGTCATAAAATTTGTTGGTATAGGAGTGACATCAAATATGTTGGTACGGGAGTGATGTCATCAAACTTGTTGGTACAGGAGTGATGTCATCAAACTTGTTGGTACAGGAGTGATGTCATCAAACTTGTTGGTATAGGAGTGATGTCATCAAACTTGTTAGTATAGGAGTGATGTCATCAAACTTGTTAGTATAGGAGTTATGTCATCAAACTTGTTAGTATAGGAGTGATGTCATTAAACTTGTTGATTTAGGAGTGATATCAAATTTGTTGGTATAGAAGTGATGTCATCAATCTTGTTTGTATAGGATTGTTACTTATTTCTACATTCCCTGCATTGCAGTCTACAAGGGACCGAACATTAGATCAGCAGTGTACTGTGACAAGACCAGGTATATCAATGATGACAAGTGCACTAGCAGTAGAATTACTAATATCATTGCTGCAACATCCTGAT